CACTGGAGAGAAACCTTATGAATGTAACCAATGTGGTAAAGCCTTTGGACATAAAAGTAATCTCCTAATACATAAAAGAACTCACACTGGAGAGAAACCTTATGAATGTATTCAATGTGGTAAAGCCTTTGTATGTTACAGTCATCTCCAAGTACATGAAAGAACTCATACTGGGGAGAGACCTTATGAATGTAACCAATGTGGTAAAGCCTTTGTATGTTACAGTCATCTCCTAACACATGAAAGAACTCATACTGGGGAGAAACCTTATGAATGTAACCAATGTGGTAAAGCCTTTGCAGATAACAGTGATCTCCTAAGACATAAAAGAACTCACACTGGAGAGAAACCGTATGAATGTAACCTATGTGGTAAAGCCTTTGCACGTAATAGTCATCTCCTAAGACATAAAATAACTCACACTGGAGAGAAAACTTGTGAATGAAACCGAAGTTGGTAAAGCTTTTGCACAGCACAGTCATCTCGTAGTACTTAAAAGAGTTCACACTATAGAGAAATGTTAAGAATGTATCCAATGTGATAAAGACTATGCATTTCAGAGTAGTCTCTGAAAACATAAAAGAACACACCCAGGAGAAAAAAAAATCCTTATGAATGTAATCACCTTTGTATAACACAGTCATCTCCTAAACCATAAAAATACATATTGCAGAATATCCTTGTGAATATAACCAGTGTCCTAAAGACTTTTCATGTAAAACTCATCTAGGACAAGAAACATACTGGAGTGAAATCCTATGAATGTAACCAATGTGGCAAAACCTTTGTATGCCATAATTTTCTCCAAGTACATAAAAAAATACACACTGGGGAGAAACCTTATGACTGTAACCAATGTGGTAAAACTTTTGCTCTTCAGAATCATTTTCAAAGTCATGAAAAAATTCATACTGGACAGAAAAACTGAGTGTATTTAAAATGGTGAAGCTATTCCACATTTGTATACTCATCATCATAAAAGAATTCATGCTGGAGAGAAATGTTTATGAATGTTTTAAAATATGAGAGTTTTGCACATATCTACATTCTTCATCATAAAAGTTTAATACTGGAGAGAAATCCTGAGAATATAAGCAAAACTGTTCTCTTTCTGTTCTTTGTGCCTTTGCGTTCTTTGGTCCATTGAATCAAATAAAACCCAAACACTAGGTCAATGCAAATGACAAAAATTTTTTGTTATCATGGCACTACTGGTTGATGAGGGCCACATAAAATTCTTGGGAACTGAACTGTGATACCTACCCACTCACTGGGCCAGAAAGTTACAGCAGTTCTGTGCTTGAAATTTGTAAACATCTGTGCTGTTTTTTAATTTTTTTTAATCAATCAGGGTTTAAGGATATGGGATTGGTTTATGTCATTGAGAAAGTCACCTGATGCAAAATGTAGGTTTTACAGTTAAAACAATCATATCCATTTGTTCTTTTGTGGTTAGGAAAGGTATTATATTTTAGGGAAGAGAAGTTGTGGTTTGGGACAGTCATTATGTTAGGGAAACAGAAGCCGTGGTATGGAACAGTCAGGTTTGGGAGAACAAAAGATAAATAATGAAAGCTAGTCAGCTATTGGGAAGCCTGCAGCTTTCCTAGAGATGATAAACTTAAACTTAGGTTCACCCTATAATTCAATAGACGCTGATATCTAAAAGGCAATACTTAGGACAAATTTAATTTGCATGTTTACACATGCAAAAAACTTTTGCATGTTTTTGCATATCACAGTCATCTTCAAATATATAAAAGAACAGATAGTAGAGAGAAACCTTACACCTGAAATCATTGTGATAAAGCCTTTTCTTAACATAGATATCTCCAAATACATAGAAAAAACATATACTGCAGTGAAAACCTATGAATAAACAATGTGGTAAATCTTTTTCATGTAGTTGTCTTTCAAATCTTGAGAAAAAGCCATGCTGCAGAGAAACCCCATGAATGTAGTCAGTATGGTAGTTTTCCTCTTCATGTTACCATTATAGAAGAGTAAAAGCTGTAGTGTGTGAGCAACCTGTTAAAGCCTTTGCATATCACAATAGTCTTTGAGAACCTGAAAGAACTCATTCTGAAGAAAATCTATTGGGATAAAAGATTTGTTAAGATCTTTGACCCACCAACTTGCATTCAGTTACACGAGATTATTTGGGAGGAAAACTCTAACAAGTGTCTACAATGTATTCATGCATTATAACATCCATCCTTATTTTATTTCCAATTCAAAGCTCACATGGACAAAAGGCTTATGAATTTAAACCATAAGGTAACCCTTTTAGATTTCAAAATTCTCTTCAATTACATTAAATAAATCATCCAGTTGTAAAATTTATGTGTGTTTACTGCCTTTTCTGTGACAAAACACCATGTCTGTGTCAACTTCCAAATGTGTTTGCTTTGCCTTATGGTTCCCGAGGGATATAGGATCTCTATGATATGGGCATCCAAGTGTCACATGTGGCAGCTGAAGAAGGAAGCTTACAGCTCACAGCCTCAACCTTCAGTATGAAGCAGAGAGTGAGAATTACAAATGCTATGCAGTTGAAAACTATCAAGCCCACCCCAAGAAACATACTTTCTCTAAGAGTGCTTCATTTCCTAAACATTCATAAATGATACCACCAACTGAGGATTCATTTCTCTGACTTCAAATCTACATGTTTGATTTCTGTTACATAAAGGAATTCATGATGAAGAAAAACTCTGTAGATAAGCCTGTAGATGCCTCAACACCTGAGTTACAGTAATGAATGATTACACAAGTAAAACATTCATGAGTAAACATATATTTGTTTAAGAATTTGTTTGAATTTCCATTATGTGTTATCAGTGTGTCTCTTTGTGTTTATGTGCCTGTCCATTCTGGTTTCCATGAAGAGCAGACCCTTTCATACCAAGAATTATAGAAAGTTGTCAAAAACCTGACCTAGGTCCTGGGAATGAACTTAAGTGCAAAGCAATCTCTCTAGTACTGTAAATATTTTAAATCTTTATATATCATCTTGATGTCAAGAAGTAGAAAAGAATTCATAGAAGAGAGCAACCGTATTTCTGCATAAGATTTGATGACACTGGACATAATAAATGTATTCAATTTCAAGAAAAGAAACTTTTTAAAATATGTTTTTATTATAGCCTTGGAGGAAATAAATTATTTACCGTGTTCACTTAAATGTAATGGTTGTATCAATTGTGGTTGTGGTCTGAATTGAAACCTTGGAGTAAGTACTGAAGTTTGCTGTATGTGTAGCAAATCTATTCACAGATGTTTATGAGGTTGTTCTGATATTCTTTCTGTGGTGGCTGTTCATCTGCATTTCTGCTTTGTGGTAGATATTTTTCTGCTGCAATGTATAGAATGGGATTTCCATCATTTGTGTGATCTATTGCTTACTTCTATCTGGCAGTGTGTGATCATAGTTTTTACGGAAGGGTCTCTGAGAAAGCATGGTACTTTTTGCATTTTCACAAATTCTTTTAAGATGTTTGGTTTTCAACCTCACTTGAATGTAAATAGTTAATGTTAAAATGCTCAATAATATGTGTTTATGTATGTATATATTGTTTGAAGTTCCATGCTTCTTCATGTTCCCTTATTTTCTATATGTCAAATCATCTTGAAGAACTTCCTTCTAAGAGAATTGTCTAGAGGTGTTAGATAATGTAAAGCAATGAGGGTTATTTCAAAAAAGAATGTTGTGTGTGTGTAATGTAACTGTGGGATCCTGGGCGATGACAGATATATGAAGATTCTGTGATCATGTTGTGAGGTTTATTTTCATTGTTATATGATGTTCAAAGTTATGTTGCCAGTTTTACGTACCACAAACATTCCCCCACTGAGCTCATTGATACTCAAACTTAGTTGAAATAGTACATATTGTCTTCTATTCATATTATAAACAAATTGTCATCTAAGGATGGAAGAAAATGATATGATTTGGATAATGCTATTTGCAAATGAAAATGATTACTGCTTTTGTGTTAACTGTAGAATTTAAAGAATCATTACTGTTTATTAAAAGAATAATGGTTCCTTTATACATCTTATTTTATCATTTCATTCCTTGATTCAAGGATAGGTCATTTTAAAAATGTATTTCAGCTGAGGCTCAAAAATGATCTTTGTCATCCTAGACCTGGGAGTCAGTGGCAGGTCCCTCTCTCTGAGGTTGAGGCCAGCATGGTCCACAGAGTGAATACTTTTGCTTGTTTGTTTTTGAGGGAGAATTTACTTGTTTATCCTTGGCTGTCCTGGACTCACTTTGTAGACCAGGATGGTCTTAAATTTACAGAGATCTGCCAGCCTCTTGCTCCCTGAGTGCTGGCATTACATATGTGTGCCACCATGCCCTGCTCCACAGATTGAGTTCTAAAACAGCCATGGCTATGTGAACATATCCTGTCTCTAAATCATTCCAAAAAAGTAGACTATATCTGAAATTGTGGATTTTTTCCAATATAATTGACTGGCTTCCACAAAGCCTTTTGTTGTATTTACTCACATCAAGAGAACTGTGGTAACAATGAAAATAAAGAATAATGTGGAAAGTCCATTCATACAGGGGTGGAAATCCATTGAATCCTATTCTAGCCATTTATCAGGGCCTTTATCATCTTCCAGTGCTAGGAGACAGAAGGGGTAATGCAGCATTTGCTTCCTCTGCATTATAATGACATCATTGGGAACTGGAGGGTTAGTGGTACTACTCCTTTGTAAACTCAGTTTAATTTCTAGCACTCACATGACTAAGAACCACCTGTGTTTCTAAGTCAAGGACATTGGATGTAGTCTTCTGGCCTCTTGGAGGAGAAGACAGTGAAAATGGTGAAAAGACACATGAACATGTCATTCCCTAATGTAAAACATTTTCTTCACATATATCTTATTTTTTTTCTTTAAAAATAAATTGATTTAATTTAGGTGCAGAAGTTTTGCCAGTGTGTATACCAAGTACATGTGCAATATCAGTGGAGGCCAGAATATCTGTTCCCCCCATGACTGGAGTTACAGACAGTTGTGGTCTATCTCTTACCTAGGCCATATGGCTGAGCAGCCAGCCATAGGTGTTGAGCCATCTGTTTAGCGCTAGGAACATATCATTAATAACAGTAATGTTTATCTTTAGTGCTGAGGTATGTTTCTTGTATGAAGCAGAAAGATAGGACCTTTTTAAAATCTATTTTGTAATCTGTGTCCTTTTACTAGGGACCTGATGCCATTGGAGTTGGGAGATAATAATGACCAGTTTTTGTCACTGTTATTTTGATGTTGGTGGTGGTAGTGTGTGTCTTATATTTTTTGTTGTTAGCCTAGCCTTTAACGGCAGAGCCTTCTCTCCAGCCCAGATAGCCTGTATCTGTATGTCTGTGAGAGTGTGTTTATATGATTGTGTTTGTGTTTCCCTTCTTTAGTTTTGCTGATATGAACTTATATAATACTGTGTTTTCCTGGTTGTATTTGGCCTTCTTGGGTGGAATTTTCCCTGTAGTATCTTCTATAGAGCTGGATTTGTGAATAGGTAGAGTTTAAATTTGTTTTTGTCCATGTTATATCTTATTTTCTCTCTTTATGTTGTTTAAAGGTTTGGCTGGGTAAAGTATTTGGGGCTGACATCTGTGGTCTTTATTGTTTATAAGATATATGTCCAGGCTCTTGTGTCTTTTAAAGTTTCCAATGAGATATCAGATGTAATTGGCCTTTCCCGTTGCAGCTACCTAGGACCATGCATGGACTAGACTAAGATCAGCTGTACATATGTGTCTTATGCACAAGTTAGTCTTCATGTGAGTCCCTGAAGTAAGTGAAGCCCCACTGGTGGGGCTGCCTTGCCCAGCCTCAGTAGAAGAGGATGGCTTGGTATGGCAGAGTATGGTTTCCTTATTCTGAGGAGAAAAGGAAAGAGGATTGGAGCAATAGGAATGGAAGGTATTACTTACTGATCTGTACTGGTCTTTATTGACTCTTGGTGTTGAAAAGGCATGCTTTCATGTCATAAAATAAAATAAATTAAAGTTTCCACAGTTTAAAACTTGTCACAGAAATGCAAAACCATTACTCAATTTGATGCTGTTATTGATACTGACAAAAAAGAGTGTGGGAATGTAGGTTTTTGCTAAAAGATCTGGCACTGCAGAATGCTTTTAGCTTAATTCCCACCAATGCAAGACAAATAAACAAGCAAACAGACAGGCTGGTACTGGGTAAGAAGCACTGTTAAACATAGAGCTGATACTGAGGAGTGGTTGCAGAATCTCAATTGTGGGGCTCTCCTGGTAATTTTAAAGTATGAAAATTCCAGATAGCCTCTTAGCTAGGTCTATACAATGGACTCCCTTTCTCATTGGGGTTCTATCTTTGCCTGATCTGGGGAACTGTAAGGAGCATCACAAAGACCTAAATGAAGATTACAGGCCTGACCCTTTCCTGATAAGAACCCTGCTCAGCAAGCCCCTGGGGATTCCTGGAAATACACCACCTTATGCTAAGGATATTTTAGCTTTCAGCAAATGAACTTCAACTGTACCTGGAGATATTCCACCACAACAGGATAATTAATTTATATATTCTCCTCATCATAGGACTTTGATACTGCATGCAAATGAGGTACTACACCACAACATATTAATCAACTATCCCTAGCATCTAGTCCCAGGAAGCCAAACAAACACATTCATCCTCTAAGCCCAAGGTTTATAAATCCCTGATTTCACAAGAAATTAATATTGTGATACCTTCAGCTTTCTACCATGGCTACCTGAAATTTGTCAGTCCTTTATTCTGGAGGAGAGAGGGTTTCTCCTTCTTTCTTGAGATTTGCCACTGAGCTCCCAGAACTTGGGTGCCAGCTAGGATGGCTGGATACTGCTGAACTTTGAAAAACCCTGTTGACCTCAAGCAATGTACCCCTTGGGCCTAGACCTGCCTTTCAGCCCAACAGGCCTATAACCCACTGGACCTATTTCCTGGTGTGCTTGGTCTGAGCCTGGCAAGGCCTGTAATTTGGCTGCAATCCCACACCAGTTTAGCCAAAGAAATGAAACACTTCCACATCATCACAGGCACTGCTGTGTGACAGTGAAAGCCTCATTTTAAAAATCTAATTGTAACGCTTGGTGTGATCCTCATTTCCACCTCCCACAGTCAGACCTGGACTACAGAAAAAGGTCTTGAGCCAACTCCCTTGATCACTCAAATTTATTCTAAGAGAATTGGTACCTATGTTCTGAGGGACCTGCTGACCGTCGTATCCCAGACAACCACCAGATAAAAAAAGAACACTCAGTGCTTTATATGAACATAAAAATATTACAAAAGAAATTAAGTAACAGACACTCATGTTAGTTTACGTGGTCTTTTGTGCTACATAAATCTCTCAAATCTTTTAATCAACAAATTAGTTTTTTTGTTTTTAGCCATGGTTTTCCTGGAACTTACTCTGTAGATAAGACTATCCCCAAACTCAGAGAATCCTTTGCCTTTGCCTCCAGAGTGCTGGGATTAAAGGCATGGGAAAATTCCACTATCAAGTTAATTCTGATTAATTTTTAGGTAACAATGTGACTGTATTAATTGTATTCAACTGTTACTAATGTTTTATTAATGTATTAACTGTTACTAGTGCAGGGAACCCTGGAGGCCTAAAGAGACTTTCAGACTGCCTGAAGGTGAAGTTAAAGGAGATTGTGATCTGACTGTATTGTTCACTACTAGTAGGATCTGAACTTTGGCACTCTAGAGCAATGGCTGATTAAGAGACTTGTTGCTCTTGAGGACCTGAGTTTGAATGTGAAAAGTTTAAGAGTTCTGCCAACAAAAGATCTTCATTTTTGTTAATTACATGCTAATTTCAGGATGGATGTCTTTTATCTGGACGGAAGTGCCTTGCTGTTTCAGGTTGTAGCCCTCAAGGTCTGGATAGCCTTTCTGAGCTAGGCATTAAGGTGCAGGACTCCCTCTCCCCACCAGAGCCTCCTGATCTCTGTCTGACTTTATCTGGTTAGTGTCTTTAGACATAGATAGCACCAAGCACATTTGATAGATGCTTTTTGACACAGATCCCTTCCCTTCACCTATAGGATAATTAGGTACTTTGTGTTGATATAATGTGAGTGTGCTGTTTAATGTAAAACAAGAATCCTTGAAATGCCTATTAAACAATTATGTACACCAAACCTTGGAGCACTCCACTCACTCCCCAAGGGGTATATAAACTTTGTTTCTTGAATTAAACTTAAAATTTCTCTTTGTGTTGGCTCCCAGTATGTCTGAATCTGTCATGCTTGTTGGCCTTCTAAGCATTACACCTCATCTTCTGCCCCTCCTGCTTTCCTGGGTTGGGGAAAATAGCCCCCAAGGCAGGAGAGAAATCAACTTATCTATGAAATGCTTGGGATCAAAAGTTTCAGACATCATAGCCTTTCATATTTTAGATGTTTCTCGCTCAACCAACCAGTGCCTTTGGATGGGACTCCGTAAAATGGGTTACACCTAATGTTTATTTCACAGTAAGGTTGCAGGTAAGTTTCAGGGTAAGGAATCTTCTGAGCCAATTACAGTGGCCTATGGAGAAGAAATAAGAACAGAAATTTGAGATCAGCCTGGATAACTGCTCTCCCTTACAGAAATCAGAAGATACAAAGAAAGAAAAGAAAAAAATAGAATCTTCTTCTTTGCTACCTTTCTTCCTTGTGGGCTCATTTGATAATCATTACCCAGTGGAGAACATGCTGCTCTCTAAAGTTTATATTTCCATAGATGTAGGTTTCAAATCTTGGACAAATGGGAGAGGTGCCTATATAAAAACTGACCTATATAAAAACTACCAATTTTCTCCCAGAAATCCCTTGGT